GGCTTATTTTCCTTTAGAGCGTCCAGCAAGAATGAGGTTGCTTGTTGAATCGAGTTTTGAGACATAAAGACGTCTACGACCTGTAAGTAGATAGGAAGAAGGTTGAACATGACAATTTTACCAATTACAATGTAACAAATGACATCTCCTTACACGTTCAATATCGACTAAAGGACCGCTCTCATCGTTGACCAACATGGCGGCAAATTCGCCACCTTTCTCGGGATCAAGTCGCATAATTTTTTGTAGAAGTGTAGGATAGTCCGGTTGAAAACCAACTTTCTTTGCATAAAGGACAAGCTTGGAATATTGGCCCGTTTCAGCAAAACATGCAATGGTCTGGATAGTTGCGACAAGTATTAATATTGAGTCAATTTTTGACTTTACAATCAACTCGTTTCACTGACGAATCATATTACGAATCTCACCTTGTTTGGAACATTTGCACGAAGATAAACCGATAAAGCTAAGGTGAGGTCATGTTGACGAACTATGTCACCAAGTTCTTCGCTACACTCCAACTAAATTTGAATAAATAAATAAATATCAGTAATTATGTAATCAGGGTCTGCTGACACTTAAGAAATAAGATAATACCTTATCCTCCTTTAACCATTTTTCTAGTAACTGCTTACGACCCTGAGCCAAAACAGGTCGCGCCAGTTCCAAAGATTCGTACTTGTTGAGTTCACCTTTCTCCAGGAGGATGCTAAAATACTGTAGTATCGGAGATAGTTGTCCCTGTATCACCGGAACCGCCTTAAAACGTTCGATTGTTTGTTGCGTACGGAGAACACCCTGTCAAAAGTAAAATAATTAGAAATTAGTGAAGGTAAAAAATGCATTGAATCTACCATCTGATATTGAGACGTACCATCGGGGAATTTGCAGCCACCTTGGCCGCTTCATTGAACGCACCCTGCTGATATAGGCTCATGAACTTTTGCATGAAAAGATCATCGGCACCTGACAAATTACACCTCGTTGCTATTCTCATCGCCAAATCCGGAATATTAAGATTATTAGTTATGTAAGGGATAATTTTGGTTTCATCTACACAGACAGACAGCACCTGGATGTATAAAAAACAATTAAATATCATTATGAATTAAAGACAGCACGCCGTGAAATTAGACGGACTTGGCCTTTTCGATTAACTCCAATAATTCCACTAGTTGCTTCGTGCTCCGCGGTCACAA